CATTGTCATCTTATAGTTTCTAGACCACAGCCCTTGCCATTTTTCTAAGTCAATATTGTATCCAAAATTTTATGCCCATTGAACCATCGTTTCTTTGACCTGTTCATCCTCCATTTTCCAGTTTAGGAAAATATATAAATTCCTTCTAATTAGTTTAATATCTGATGCTAACATTACTTGGTCAAAAGTTGTCATGCCTTGTTTAATCTTAACAGTACTCAGTGGTTCTAAGCAAAACAATATTCTTTTTTTTCTAAGACACACTTCAGCAATATGGGATAGTGATACTGCCTTTTAGGATAGTACTTAAATCTGTTGGAAGTGCCTGAATCAGTCTGTCGCAGCAGAAATCACTATTTTGTCTTTGAAAAGCTAATAGATCTATTGTGATATAAACTCTCAGACTAGGAACTGCCATCAGATGCGGTAACATGTGAAGCATTTTGAACATTAAACGCTACATAAATTCTGAATGCTCTTATTTTACAGTTTTGATATTAATAATGACCACTTGGGAATTGTGCAGATACATAGGTTTACATGAAAGGTTGGGGATTCACTAGCTCTCTAGACCAGTATGTGGCTTAAGAAAGTTTACATATTTGCTGTGTTACTGTGGTGCCTCGCTAGACAGTTACCCCGCATGACAGTTTTTTCGCTAGACATTGGCTTTTTGAGATTGCTATAGCGATTCGCAAAACAGTGATTCCTATGGGGGAATTTTGCTGGACAATGTTTGGTCCCTGCTTGCAAACCAATTTTCGCTAGACAATGATTTTGACAGCTCCCTCCGCGCTTGCAAACAGGTGTTTTCGGGACCAAGCTTCGCAAGACAGTGATTTAAACAGCTGATCAGCGGTTTGCAAAGCGGATTTCCTATGGCCGATCTTTGCTAGACAACGATGATTCTTCCCCATTGGAACGCATTAAACAGGTTTCAATGCATTCCAATGGAAAAATGCTTTTCGCTAGACAATGATTTCGCTAAACAGTGATTTTAGTGGAATGGATTATCATTGTCTAGCGAGGCACCACTGTATTTATTGTGAGGAACATGCTGACATGCTACCTTTCTGATTTCCAAAAAAGTTAACATTGAAAGGAAATATAGTTTGTGTCCAGTGAGTCAAACAGCTCTGTTCAGATCTCAGCAAGGAAAGTGTTGTAACATTGTTTTATTTATCTAATCAGTAATTTTTTTTATTGTGTCATCTATTAAATTAATGCAGACACTCTTTGGTCAGCAAAATTGTCGTTCTAAAAATGCAAAAATCTTATAACACTGTATCCTTTCTATTAATTTCTATTCCTGCAGGATAGGTGATGTTCTATGATGTATTAGTGTCATGTTTCTATTTGGATTTCTACAGATTAAAATAGGATGGGGAAACTGGAGTGATCAATTTTCACACATAGTCTTCGCATGACTAAGGCAAATAGTGTCCAGATACTAAGAGACACTCATATTTTGCATTGTCTTTGTGTCATGCTCCCAACTGTGCTAAGAGTGGCTCTTTATTTTTAGCCTATGATTAGCTCGATACATGTTTTTTTTTCCTTGCTGCTAAGGTTGTATTTTGACTGAAGTCGATTTGGTACATCAAAATTGGCTGTCCAATTATTTTAAATTATAGGAAAATAGATTCCGTGTAATCCTATCGCTTAACAGGCTGGTAGAGGATTTTGCCTACCGTATTTGCCGGCGTACAAGACGACTTTTCGGCCCTGAAAAACATGCCTCCAAGCGGGGGTCGTCTTGTACGCCAGGTACATGTCCAGCAAACCCTCCCTCTCTCCCAGGGAAGTCACTTACCTGGTAGTAAGACCGAGTAGAGCCCCGCTCCTAGCCTGGGAACAGCCTGACTCTAGCGCCGAACAGCTGACTGTCGGGAACAGCAGAGAGGAGGCAGCCATTTTGAGATGCAACCACATGGCTGCTGCTTCTCAAAATGGCTGCCACCTCTCCAAAATGGCTGCCACCTCTCTGCTGTTCCTTCTTCCAGCAAACCCTGGCTCTCTCCGAAAAGGAACCAAAAGGAACTCTCCCCATGATGCAGCCAAAGCAGAATCACGCATGCGGCAGAGGGGGGAGTCTTATACAGCAAGTATATAACAAACTCTACATTCTGAGAGGGAATGTTGGGGTGTTGCCTTATACGCCCAGTCGCCTTATACACTGGCAAATACGGTAAATATTTCTGGGCATGCACGACCTAGCATGTACAATGGTAATGAATAATCAGTATTACATTATACAATGGTGCCCCGCATGATGACGATAATCTGTTCCCCTGAAATCGCTGTTAAGCGAACTCGTCGTCATGCGAAAAACCATTCCCCATTGGAATGCATTGAAACCCATTTAATACATTCCAATGGGGAAATTGCCTTGTCCAGCGAAGATCACCCATAGAGGAAGCCATTTTCCGAGTGCCGATCAGCTGTTGAAATGGCTGCTCTGCAAAGCATGGGTCTGGAATAGACAGGGCAGCCATTTTGGGGTAGCTGGAAAAATCGTCGTTTTGCAAACAAACAGTTCGCAAAGCAAGGACCTAATCATCAAACGAAAATCCCCCATAGGAAGCATTGTTTTGCGCTCGCTATAGTGATTGCAAAAAAGTCATCGTCCTGTGGGATTAATCCCCCATAGGAAGCATTGTTTTGCGCTTGCTATAGTGATTGCGAAAAAGTCATCGTCCTGTGGGATCGTCGTGATGCAGGGCACCACTGTACTTATGTCTGTGGTAAGCTGCTGCCAAGTGAACCGTAACATGACATGACATCACTAGCACAAAGGGGGAAATTGAGTGAACTTTGGGGCATGATAGGTATTGAATAATGTGAGGGTTCGACTTTAGGCTCCAGAATCAATTCAAAGAAATCATCAGATCCGTGTTGCTTCAAAACAGGTGTGGGATTTATTGGAAGATTAAATAATAAACAAGTGTCTGGAACATGATTATGAGTCTTTTCTCCTCCTGCCAACTGGTCCGGAAGGTGCTTCCAGTCGTTGAAAAAGAACGGGTTTTTATAACTACAGTCCCAGGGTCCCTGAAGATCATTTGAGGCCCAGTCCTTTACCGTCTGCCTCGTCACACTTTCCAGCACGGTCTCCTCATCCAGATTGTCATCCCACAAGATCTGTCCATCGGGGTCTCAGTTCTCCTAGGGTCTTCCTTGTAGTTCCTTCTTTTCATTTCTCTCACTCTCCATTATAATCTTTCTCTTCTTTCCCTCTCCACTCGTTCCTTTTCCTCTCTCAGTCTACTTCTCCCTCACTTCTGTTCCCTCCCCAAAATAAGAGGGTTTAGGGGGAATCTTTACTCTTCTCCTATAATCTGCCTCCTCTTTTGGCACTCTCAATCTCTCCCATAATCCAGTCCACGGATCCTGCATCCACATCCATTCCCAACCAGGTGGTAACTGCTCTTCCCTCCTTTCCACTTCCCCCCCTCCTGCATCAAACTCTACCCTCTTCTTTCTTTTCCCGCCTTTTCTTCCTGAACTTCCCCTATCGTCACTTTCTGTACATCTTCCATCAGCTCCTCTATCACTGACTCCCATGGAGCCTCCACCGAAGGTTCGGATATGGGTTTGGGGTCAACCTCCCCATCTCTGT